TGTAATCATCCAGACATTTAGTGAGTTCAGTGGGTGCAGTCTGGTCATTTTGTTGGATGGGAATGTACAGCTGCGTGTCATTCATGTAGCAGTTAAATGACATGTTGGATGTTGGACAGTTTGATGTGTCCTGAACACCTCTAACGGGAGGCACCCAGGAGGATCCTGATCAGATTCCCAAACCACCTCAACTGGTCCCTTTTGACTTGAAGGAGCAGCGGCTCTATTCTGAGCTCTTTCCAGATGTCCGAGCTCCTCACCCTATCTCTAAGGTTGAGCTGAGCCACCCTTCAGAGGAAACTCATTTTGGCTACTTGTATCCGTGATCTCATTCTTTCTGTCATTACCCAAAGCTTATGACCGTAGGTGAGGGATGCAATGTAGATGGACCAGTTCATCGAAAGCTTTGCCTGGCTCAGCTCTCTCTGTACCACAACAGTCCGACGCGGGGCCTGCATCACAGGAGACGCTGCGAGAGATAATTGAACTCCTTCACTTGGGGCAGTAACTCCTTTCCTGACTCGAAGGGGCCAATCCACCATTATCCAGCAGAGATCCATGGCCTCAGACTTGGAGGTGGTGACTCTCATCCTGACCACTTCACACTCGGCTGTAAACCACCCCAGTGCATGCTGGAGGTCACACTGTGATGAAGCTTTTCACATTTAAATTGCGCGATTAATGGAGGTTCTTTAACTTCACTAACAAGTGGGCGACATATGGAAAGAATGCAATAAAAATTTGTAGAAAGAGAGAGGATTAAAAGATTTGACTTCATGAGGGGGATGATTCAAAGGCAGTGTGGAGATTCAGATTCTGTGGGAAATATGTACTTATCATTCAGGTCTTGTTCAGCATACCATATATGTATTTATTACACGGCTCTATTAAATGCTGTATTCTGATTGGTCAGTAGCGGCATTCTGCGGTCTGATATTACTGTGTAATGACCGCTGCTAGTAGCAACGGTCATTACACACAGTTGCTATGTTGCCTAGTGTTGCTAGGGATTCTGCCCTGCAACACTGCAGCTGTCAAACAACTTCCGAGGGAAAAAACAAACAGAAGTGGCTTATTTTAACGGATGCCGCTAAAGAAAAAGAATACCTACGGACTTTCTCTGCCAAAAACAAAAGAAGACGGATTTGAATACACACTCGGCAGTCATGCTTAATGACATTTTACGCGAGTTTTATGCCTCGGTTCAGTCCACTAAGCCTGGGTGAGTACAAAACTTTCACCAAAAGTTGTCGAATCCGGTCGGTTTTAATGCACTTCGCAGAGGCAGACAACATTATTTATTTAACTGATAATTAGCCGTGTAATAAGCGGGATAATGTATAATGAGCCGGTGAATACTGGGAAAATAACTCCCTTCAGGGGAATGAAACCTCTCCGCTGCGCGTCGGGGTTCTATTCCCGTTGGGAGTTATTTTCCCAGTATTCACCGGCTCATTATACATTATCCCTTACATAATAATACAATATAATATATTATATAATATATAATTATTGTTATCGATCAATAT